AAAATGAGTATTAAAAATAAATTAAATTAAAGTAAACGATATCAGTGGCTTAAATGACTAAAACTTTACAATTAATATCGCTAGGATAGGTACTGCTAGTTAATAAAAAATGGTATATTTTGCATCTTTCATCCCTATCGTTTACAGTTTTTGTAGATTCATGAGCAATCCTTCAATTTCAACAAAAATAACCCTAAATCAGCATTTCCTTTGCAATTGTAGTCCTTTCCATCTTAATCCATCAAAATTAGCCGTTAAAGACACATGCTTAATTTTAGAAGGATATTTTTGTCCAATCATTTAAAATAAACAAAAAAATTGCAACAAAAGCTCCAAACCTTTTGAAAATGTACTATCAAAGACTCAAGCCTTCTAATCTTAGCACTTACATCCAAAACCTTTTAATAAATGTCCAATCGTCTGTCAAATTCAGGCGTATAATCTTAATTTGGCCAATTTACTGAAAGACAAAATAGTGTTTTTTTACATTTAAATAAAGAAATTAAAAATAAACAAGAAAATAATAATAAAAAAAACTCATCTTCCTGAATCCACCACCACCCCCAGCACCACAAGCACCATTGAAACCGTCACCACCACCGCCACCGCCATTGCCAATCTCCTTGGATTTCAGAAAGAAGGGCGATTGCTGCAATATATTTGGGATTTCTCTTTTAATTGTGAATCTTTATTTTGTAGCTCCAGTTGTCAATTTTAAGTGTTTTTTTTTCTCTATCTTGTCAATTGTGAATCTTTATTTTGTAGCTGCAAATTTCATGGCGAAACCATTCTTGGTAGCGGAGGTGGGAGGTCGTGGCCAGTGGAGAATAGGTAGTTACGCGTGATCTTGTAGTCTATAGCTCATTATTCATACTTCTTGGAAGTATGATAAAATGTGTGATGTTTCTTGATAAATGGATAAGAGTTACTCACATATTCCTCCATCCACAGCTAAAATGTGTTTTGACAGATTTATAAAAAATAATTATGTTTAATCATTAAGTTTTTATTTGTATTTTTTATTTTTTCAACACATGAATAGCGACAAAATTTGAAAAATTGAGATATTTAACGACTTCACTAAATCTTATATATATGCAATATGTTCGGACCCGATGTGAGGTAGAGGTGGCAATCGAGTCGAGCGACTCGGCAAAAAAGGAGCCACGAGCCGCTCAGGCTCATCATTTGACGAGCCCGAGTCCGAGTTCGAGTCCAATTCCTAGCATACGAGTGGCTCGTGATTTTTTTTTTTTAAAGGTTTAGAACATGTATAATTATAAAAAATTTAAAAACCAGAGCTCGGGAGCTGAGCTCGACCCCACGAGTAACGAGCCGAGCAGAAGCTCAGCTCTCATGCGTATACGTGCCAAGTATGCTCGGCTCGGCCCATTGCTACCACTAATGTGAGGTCCAAGAAACGGCCACCTCATGCCAAGAATATACGAGGACCCAACTTTTCTATTTTTGCTCGTTATAAAATTTGAAAACACGGTAAAAGAATCATAATGTTAGTTTGATGATAAGTAATTACGAATTATAGTGCAGTGGTACAGGTTTCATATTTGCCTATATGGTTCAAATTCTTACTTTCTTTATTTTTTAAAGAAATTTGCACTAGTATTTCTTCCCCACACTTAAAAATAGAATTTTTGATTATAAGCCTTTAGTTCCATTTACATGTTCATCCATTTAACATAATTTTATGTACTTTAATTTTCGCATACAAGATGCACAAGTGATTTTTTCTAAGAGGCCTGCTACAAGTACAGGCCACTGTTTCACAGGTGGCTACCAGGTCAGACACATGGGACGAGGGCCACAAATTTTTTTTTTTTAATACATTGGAGTGGGGTCGACGCTACTGTGAGGGGTCCTGTAAGACCCTTGTGAAAGAGCCCATGTACTTTGGGAATTACTCTTTTTCTAAAGATGATAAAACACTGTACTCAACGATGCAAACAAATCTTGTCAAATTTGAAAGAAAACAATCGTTTTTTTAAAACACAAATCTTGAAAGAAATATAATCATTTTTTTATCGCACAAGTCTAGTCAAAAGTTGTGCAAAAATGTGTGAAAATGTACTGAACCAGTAGGTAGCTGTTGTTGATCCTACAAAATGTATAGTCAAAATTAAAATTTTATTTTGACCTTTAAAATATAAGGAGTGCATGAGTTATATGATTTTCATTTATTTTCCTACTTTTAAAAAATCCTAATAAAGATAAATAAAAATTTGAATACACAACGCAATTTAATGGACGAACTTCTTTTTAGAATGTGTTTGATTGACTTTATTTTTCTTGAAAAATGTCATTTTTTAATTCAAATTCCTGCTTTTGGGATGTTTAATTGACAATTTTTTCATGAATAATATTTTTCAATCTTTGGTTATGTGACCATATTTTCCTTAAAAACAAGGAAAATATTTTCTTTAGGAAGGATATTTTTTTTCCAGCTAATTCACTCTCTTTCATTTACACACTAATAAAAAATGGATAAATATAATATTTTCTAGGTTGAAAATTAAATCAATCGAACAAATTTAATTTAATTATGACCCTACCTTTAACCAATTTAGCTCTTAATACAGGATC